TTGGTCTCATTATTATAATATACTAATATTAGGGGTGCACAACCTGCGGCCCGCGGGCCAAATGCGGCCCGCGAGACGATAAAGTGCGGCCCGCGATCGCATTTTGAACATGATGAAAAAAATTTTAAAAAAAATTATTTTTATATCTATTTATTATTCTTTTTTTTAAAGTATTTTAATAACTAAGAAAAAGAAAGAAATCAAGAAAAAGAAAGAATCAGCGATTCCTTCCCTTTTCTTTTTTTCGATTACTTTCGAATTCGTTTTTTAGGAGATTCCACTCATTCTTAATGAACTCCTCCTCTCTGTCTATCTTTGTGTTTCGTTCGTTAGGTTTGGATCATGCGCCTCGTAAGTATTTTTATTTAAATTAAATGAAAGAATCACAGTTTAGTAAAAGAATCATAATGTTAAAATGGTATTTAATCATTAAAAAAATGATTTTAGCAATAAACTATGTCAATGATGACATAAAACACAGTTAAAAAAAAGCAAGAGAAAGAAAATATAAAAAAAATTCTAAACAATCAGACTTCATGCTAATGATATTGAATGGATTAATAAAATAAAATAAATGTTTTTTTTATATATATTTTAATTAAACGAACCACACCAGGGTGTTACAATAATGAAACTTGTTGTTTAGACATGAAAAACGAAAATGAACCACACCCTTGTATGAAAAAGGGTAATTTTTTTTCTTATTCTTTGTCATTTTAATCGCATTTTCCTAATGAATGTTGTACTCGTGGATAATGTAAAATGTGACAAAACTTAAAATTTAAGATAAACTTCTGTTAAGTTTTAATTTGAAATTTTTGAAAAAAATTTAACAGGATCATAGTGTAGGTCTAACATTTAAAAATCTACATAAAAAAATTTATGAAACCAGAGATTTATTTAATAACAACTAGATTATTAAAAAATAAATAAAAATGCCGATGAAACAGCTAGAACACCTGAAATAAAATTTATTAAAATAATAATAATAGTATGCATTTGTATTTATAACACGTTAACGAAAACGAAAGTTTTGAAAGCTATTTAAAATTATTAATTATAATTGTTTCTAAAAGCTATTGAAAAATATTATTTATAATTTTTTTTATTAGTCATATTCTTCAAAACGAAAATTCAATCGTTACTATTGAGCCATTTCCGATTTAATTTTTCCGTGTACATTTTCTTTCAATGTTCTGATCTATAATGAATAATATTTATTTTAGAAAAGATCCCTTTTGACTGCGCAGCTGAAATGATAATTTTATGAAAATTGAAATAAAACACCTTAATATTTAAATTATCTGTATCTAACATCCTTCTCTAATTTAAGAGCATCAAATTTCTGCAGTTATTTTTGCGTAACAAAAATAAATAAAATACAAGTTATATTTGCAAAAGAAAAGAAAAAAAACTTTTGGAAAAAAAAATTTAAAAAGAAACAAAAACTTTTGGAAAGAAAAATTAAAAAAGAAACAAACTCCTGGAGTCCTCCTGCCTGTCGTTATCTTAGTTTCTGTTACGGGACTTAGAATCGACACTTCCTGTTTAATTTCGCATTTTAACAGGTGATTCTTTCATGATAGTTCTTAAAGCTATCAGAAAAATTTTTTTAAAATCATTTTTGATTTTTCATTATGAGTAAAAGAAAAATAGCGGCTGAGAATAGAAAGTTTTCTGATTCTTGGGGACTTAAGTATTTTTTTGTGGAGTCTGCAAATATTATTACATGTCTAATATGCAACACAGCTATCAGTGCATGCAAGGAGTATAATCTGAAGAGACATTATGAGACCAAACACCCAACATTCGCTAATTTAAAAGGCAATGATCGTGTAAAAAAATATGAAACTTTAAGCCGCTCTCTAATTGCGCAGAAAGGTTTGTTTAAAAAAGCCTCAGATGAATTAGATGTTTGCGTTGAAGTTAGTCTGAAAATCGCGGCCCTCATCGCTAAAACGGGAAGGCCTTTCAGTGATGGTGATTTCTCTAAAGAATGCTTAATGATAGCTGCTGAAAAGCTTTGCCCTGATGCTGCAAACAAATTCAAAAATGTTAGCTTAAGTCGAACAACAATTCAGAGAAGAGTAGAAAACCTCTCAGAAGATTTGACAGAACAGCTGCAAAATGCTGCCTCTAAATTTAAATATTTCTCTTTGGCGGTTGATGAGTCTACAGATATTACTTCAACAGCTCAGCTTTTGTTATTTGTTAGAGGCATAGCTGACAATTTTGTTGTAACTGAGGAATTAGTTGGAATGAGCTCCATGAAGAGCACAACAACTGGAGCAGATATTTTATCTTCAGTATTAAATTTATGTAAATCTCAAAATCTTGATATAAACAAAATTGTGAGCATTACAACCGATGGTGCTCCAGCAATGATGGGGGCAAAAAATGGAATGGTCGGTTTACTGCGACAAAATTTAGGCGAAAAGAAATGCGACCTCATATCATACCACTGCATTATACACCAAGAGCAGCTCTGTGGTAAGGAATTAGGGTTTGAAAGACTTATGAAGATGGTGACAGAGGCAATTAATTTCATTCGTGCTCATGCTCTCAATCATCGCCAGTTTAAGGATATGTTGACAAATTGCAATGCATTGCATAATGATTTGCAATATTATTCAGAAGTACGATGGTTGAGTCGTGGAGAATCCCTAAAAAAATTTGCAGATGTATTGAATGAAGTCATAACATTTCTTGAAGAGAAAGGAAAGCCAACGCGATTCTTGAAAGAAGAAAGCTTTGTCCGTGATTTGGCTTTCTTAGTTGACATAACAGGGCATTTGAATGACTTAAATACGAAATTAATGGGAAAAAATCAAGTTATTTCTCAACTTGTAAATGCAGTTGATGGATTTAAGCTAAAGTTAGGCTTATTTTTAAAACAGCTAGAGGCCCAGAATTTTATTAACTTTCCGTATTTGAAAAAAGTGAAAGAAGTACACCCAGATAAAGTCTTCGATTTTTCCCATCAAATAAAAGTACTCCAAGATTCATTTGACAAACGATTTCAAGACTTTGAAACAAAAAGGGCTAGAATAAAACTTTTTGGGGATCCATTTGGTGTTTCAATTGATGAAGCCGCAGAAGAAATTCAGCTTGAGTTAATTGATCTTCAGACCTCTGATATACATAAGTCGAATTTTAGGGAATTGGGACTTCTGGAATTTTATAAAGCCTTGCCACCTGAATTTGAAAATATTAAAAAAAATGCAAGTATGTGTGCTACAATGTTTGGTAGCACATATATTTGTGAACAAACGTTTTCATTGATGAATATTAACAAATCTAAGTTAAGGAGCAAATTGACTGATGAACACTTGGAATCAATTTTAAGAATATCAACCAGCCACTATGAACCAAATATATCGAAACTGGTATCTAAAATACAGTCTCAGCCATCTCATTGACACATAAATCATGAAATTTATTTATTTTAGTTTTTCAATAGTGTTTATAATATTATTCATAATTATTTTTGCCATAACGATAAAACATATATTCAACTAAAGGTTGAATTTACTTTTTTGAGTTGTATAGGTATTGCTTAAATAATTTTTAAATATTTAAATTTATTAAATTCAAGTATTGAGTTTAACCGTTGTAGTTGATTGTTATTTGCAACATTTTCGTTGATCTATTTTGACTTTGAACTTTAAACACTTGTGGTTCATAGTTTAGTAGCAACTGTTTCTTTGATACATTTTATTTTGGTTGTACTTAAGTGATATAATTTATTCTTTGTTATGCTCGGCTGCTTTCTATTTGATGTTTTTTACCCATTTGATTTGCTTAATATTCACAAACTTCTTATAATTCACTAAAAACTTGTGGTTCATAGTTTAGTAGCAACTGTTTCTTTGATACATTTTATTTTGGTTGTACTCAAGTGATATAATTTATTCTTTGTTGTGTTCGGTTGCTTACTATTTTATTTATTTTACCCACCTGATTTGTTTAATATTTACAAACGTCTTATAATTCACTAAATATGAATACCGTAGAAATTAAGTACTCTACCGATTAGGGTTGGGCGATAAATCTGGAAATATCGATTTAGCGCATACATCGTCATGCCAATATAGCAAATTTCGTTTCTTCCGAAGAATTGGAATTCTCATTTAAGCCGCTAATATAAGAATCGCGATTTAACATGCTAGGATGTTTGCTAACACTGTTACGGCGCTGACGAAGACTATTTTTGTTTCGTCTTGCTATGAAAATGATGCTTGTTTCGTGATATTGAAGGGTAAAGATCTAATTGAATCAGAAGTAACGTTTTTGTCCGACGATCAGCATTGAAGTTTAGAACGCAATACCAAATGTTCTTTATGCACCCTTTTTTTTCACCGGGATTTCGTTTCTTGAAGATGCGATCGCTCTGGATTTTATTTCGTCAGGATTTAACGTTTCTCGTAAATTATTTTCAATAGAACTTCTGCTACTTAATAATCGTTGTGCACAATTTCGACACTTTATTTATATTTTTGTTTGTTGGGATTTAACGCTTCTTACCAATTATTTCAGTTGGTCTACTAATACTAACAGACTATATGTCACGATATAAAATTGCTTACATCACCCAGTCCTACTTCCGATTAAATATTAAATAATATTTTGTGCTGAAATTGTATTCTTTCAATTTAAACTAATGTTAAACCTGTAAATTTTCATTTAATTAAAATATTATGTTTGCCTCTACATTTTTCAAGTACATAAGTGTATACTTACGCTTATACACACATATATAGTCACACAAATTTGTCATTGAATTTATTTTAAATAAATCTTGTAATAGATTGTGTGGACATAGAATAAATTACTATGAATTTTTTCCTTGTGTATTTATTTTATGTTCAAAAATGTTTTAAGATAAAATGGAAATATTTTTCGTTAAAAGAAAAAAGTATTAGCTCTGAGTTTTTAGGTTTTGTACGACTACTTAAACAAGTATTTATATTTACAAAATTATATTACTGAGCAGACTTAGATAAAATGAAATACTTTCTGCGAACACAATCTCAATAACTGTATTATTAACTATTATTAATTCTTACTCTTAGACTTAAACTTTTGTAACTAGTTTCAATCCTTTCGTCACCCCTCATTTTGGCGAAGGTTTTTCGAACATCTCAGATCTTTTTTAATAAATCTTCATTTTTATAGAACTTTATATTGATTCATTCCACAGAGAGGAATTTGGTAAAAAAGCTGAAAAGAGAAGTCCGAAAATATTATGTACTTGAAAATTGAGCAAGAAAAAAGTGTATGTAGGAAGCGTCTATCGGCAGAACGTTATCAATATTTTAATAAAAATATCGATGCGAGATTTTATTTATTTATTTAAATTGTGGGAATAGGAATCTCAATACGTAATTTTTAAATAACCCGAATACTAATCTCGATATATAATTTCAAAATTGCGTGAAATCAAATCTCTGATGTTTGATTTTAAAATCGCGTTGATACGAATCACGATGTGTGATTTTGTATGAATGTAATTTTGAAAAAGTTTAAAATTGTTTCTTTGTTCTTCACGAAAAAAATTTCTTTAAAGAAGAGATTTTTTTTTAAAATTTTTTTTAGTAAAAGTGTTTTTAGAGAAAGCATGGTGACAAATTTTCTGCCGTTAGCGTTCGTGTATATTATACGGGTTTTACTAATGGTACTTTAAAAAAAATTTAAAGCTTAAAATTTTATATAAAAAATTACCATAATTTATCTTAAAATATAAGTATTTGGGCATGCGGCCCTTCATTGGTTAGCCTATTGTGCAAATGGCCCTTCATTCAAAAAGGTTGTGCATCCCTACTAATATAATACCTGATATAATAAATATTCAATATTTATTTAATGTATCGTCAAATTTATATTATATATCGTCTAATTTAACCCATCGATACACGAACGTCAACAAGCGCAAACCGGTTTCAGTCGCATAAAAACAATAAAGCTGCATAGTATCAACTGATAATTGAGACTTTACATAGAATCTTACAGTGCGTCTGATAATTTGGTCTCATTATTATAATATACTAATATAATACCTGATATAATAAATATTCAATATTTATTTAATGTATCGTCAAATTTATATTATATATCGTCTAATTTAACCCATCGATACACGAACGTCAACAAGCGCAAACCGGTTTCAGTCGCATAAAAACAATAAAGCTGCATAGTATCAACTGATAATTGAGACTTTACATAGAATCTTACAGTGCGTCTGATAATTTGGTCTCATTATTATAATATACTAATATAATACCTGATATAATAAATATTCAATATTTATTTAATGTATCGTCAAATTTATATTATATATCGTCTAATTTAACCCATCGATACACGAACGTCAACAAGCGCAAACCGGTTTCAGTCGCATAAAAACAATAAAGCTGCATAGTATCAACTGATAATTGAGACTTTACATAGAATCTTACAGTGCGTCTGATAATTTGGTCTCATTATTATAATATACTAATATAATACCTGATATAATAAATATTCAATATTTATTTAATGTATCGTCAAATTTATATTATATATCGTCTAATTTAACCCATCGATACACGAACGTCAACAAGCGCAAACCGGTTTCAGTCGCATAAAAACAATAAAGCTGCATAGTATCAACTGATAATTGAGACTTTACATAGAATCTTANCTAATATAATACCTGATATAATAAATATTCAATATTTATATAATATATCGTCTAATTTATTCAGTCGAATTTATATTATATATCGTCTATTTTAACCCATTGATACACGAACATCAACAAATGCAAACCGGTTTCAGTCGCGTAAAAACAATAAAGCTGAATAGTATCAACTGATAATTTGGCCAGGTGCTGTATTATGCCTGGTTGGACAACTAAGGGTAAAAATTACATGTCTGATCAGAATTCTTTTTATCACCCATCGCATGTTGGGGCTAAATTCCTTATAGATTTAAACATTGGCGATCAAAATCAAGACAGACCCTTTAAATTTGAATGGAGATTAAGAACAAAAAACTTTCTAAATGAGCTTTGTTTCTTTTCAACCATTTAAATTTTTAAGCACCATTAGCCACGAAAAACATAATGTTCTATAAAAAAAATAAAAAAATGGTCCTGACATAGTTGAAGCGAGAGACAAGAAATACTAAATCTACCTTTCCTGGAAACGATTGCAGTGTTCGTGTCACGCACGTATTACCAAGAGCATAAAAACTTTCTTTCTTTTGATAGAAATCAAAAATAAAAAAAAACAAATAAAAATTAGCATAATTTCTCAGAAGAAAAAAAGTCATTGGAGTAATCCGATTACCAGTCCATAAGCAAGTCGTTAACACTTATAAAAATGGGTGGTGGTTAACTACCATGACTTAACGGCCACCATAACTGGTAATTCAGCTGTGGTTTCCGCTTCATATTCTTTTTTATACTTATGGAAAAGTATTAAGTCTAAAAAATTTTCCCCTGATAACGGGTTGTCTTGTTATAATGAGAGGCATTCACCATTTTTATATAAGCTGGACTTTTATTGAGGTTAGCAGGTTTAAATGCACGCTAGAGAGATTTAAAAAAAAAATGAAATTAATCATCAGAGAAGCTGTAATACCCAATCATTCACATAAAATTAGAATTTAAATATGATGGATGATTAGCTTTTTGGAAACAGAAATAGAGTTGTAGAATTTTTTTGATTAATTGAATTTAGATATAAGCTTGCTTTACAGTAAGTGGCTCCAAATTTTAAGCAATTGAACAACATAAACGAAATTATTGTAACACCCCTAGCAGAGGGCTTTTTTTTTTTCTTTCCAATATTGCTCCTATATAGAATTTTCGATTCACCCGATATTATAACCACTTTACAACCAATATCGGTCCTATATGGAATTGTCAGATTCACCCGATATTTTATACTACCACTTTACAGCCAATATCGGTCTTATATAGAATTGTTAGATTCACCCGATATTTCATAACCACTTTACAACCAATATCGGTCCTATATGGAATTGCCAGATTCACCCGATATTTTATACCACTTTACAACCAATATCGGTCTTATATAGAATTGTTAGATTCACCCGATATTTCATAACCACTTTACAACCAATATCGGTCCTATATGGAATTGTCAGATTCACCCGATATTTTGTATCCATTATTTAGCCAATGTAGGTTCTATATTGTCCAATGTAGGCCCTATATAGGCCATTCTAATACCAATATTAAAAAATCTAGGCATCTCAATATTAGTCGTTCGGCGCATGTTCTTATAGAACCCCAAATCGAGCCAATTTTGAATCCAAAGGGGACCTAGGTAAAATTGTTGCTAGGGGCCATTTCGATAGCGTGGCGTACTTAAGGACATGCTATTGCCATCAAAAGTCTTAAGTTTACAGGGTT